GGATCGAGTAATCGACGATATTGATGGTAGGACGAATGCAAATCTTGATATCAGCAAAATTACGCAGCACAAATAGGGTGAGTCGCGATGACCACTAAACCACTTCCATCTCCAGATCATTGGTGATTTCAATCGAAATGTCACCTCCACGGTTCATCATTCATGAATTTTAGTTTGTTTGGCTGAAGCAAAGGCAAATAAGGCATCAGTTGGTTCTAGGAGGAGTATTCGACCACACCCCAGTACTCAGAGAATCGTGAGATGACTAAAGCCGTCAAGGCCACGTCCGTTTACTAACCAGCCATTCAGAAACGTGCCAAAAACCGGCCATTTAGAAGCGGCCGGAAGGTGTACAAACACACTCTGAATGCGAGCATTGCCACGTGGAGGTTATAACAATAAATGAAATGTTAATGCATGCGATCAGTTTCCAAAGGCCGTAAATAATGCCTCCATTTAGCCAACTCCAAAAAATTCCTCTTAGTGGATGTATTTCATGTTGAAAAAAAGACATTTTACACCAACGAAAACGTACAAGTTGCCTCTCGAGGTTGTGGCATGCTGCATTGGGAAGCAAGTTGAACCCTCCAGGCACGTGTGATGGCGACATATCTCAAGTCCCTGGTTCGAGAGTTTGCGATCTAATTAGAAAAAGGGTATTTGTTGTGGGCCAAAATTAGAGAGCAATAGTTTAAGGAAGGAAGATTCTACGGTCCCTACTCACCTATTGTCTGACCAACCGACGCTAGATGGTTCAGTTCTGCGGGAATGAACTGGAAGTCGTCGATGACCACTCCCTCCTCCTGGTCGGGTTGCCGGTTGTAGCCAAGTAGGAGGCCAGTGAGACTCGGTAATTCCCAGTCTGCGGACTCCTCAAATGGTTCTCTTGAGGTGGCCACGATGGTGCCGTTTACTTTGACTGAAAGGCCTGCGCTGTGCGACCAGGAGGTCGTTACGTGGACCCAGTTCTGGTCGATGGAATTGACTGCAACCTAGACCCACGCACACACACAAAACGGGACTTGTTGAGCAGGTCATGCCATTGTGAGTTTGAAAGATAGCATTATTGGTAGAAATACGTGCACAAAACAGGAATTTTGGAAACCAATCTGCCCTTTGCAGGTTCTTCTATAGCGTTTACACGACTTAGGAGAAAAATGGCAAATTCGTCGGAAAGAGCTGCACTAAGCGCCTCAGACACTCAAATTCGTTTCCACCTGCAAACTCTTTCGTATTCTCTGGGGTTAGCCCAAGGCTGATTCTGCAGACAGGGTGTGACATTACATGCAAAGACGACTTCCAACTTACCGCAACCTTCCACACCCTCGACACTGCTTTCCCTGCTATGATTGATTCCAGACTCATAACAGTCGTCTCAAGACGATATTCGGTGGCTGTCTTCGTTAGATAGACCCTCATTCGGCTTCCAGACGGGCCCTCTAGTCGATAAATTGGCCAGGAACGTGGACTTGCAGAGGCAGGCAAATGCAAGACCCAGAAAGACGTTGTTAATCCGAATTGGCACAGTTGGATGTCTCGAAGGCAGACTGATTCGGGGGCGGTGTCTGACGTCGTGACTGCAAGTCGACTTGACGAAACCATTAAGGTGTCCTGCACTGCCGACTCGAGAGGTCCGTCGAGAGATTGGACTTGAATGTTGGGAAACGCTTGTGATGGCGCGCAGATGGTTGATGGGTCTTGGATCGCGTCTTTGAAGGTCCTTGGCACATCGTCAAAATTGCACTCCAACACGGGAAAAGGCGCTGTAATGAGACAAGCACAGTTTGATTCTGTCGATGAATGCGCGTTTGGTACAATTATGACAGCCCTTCGTGTGATCTTTTTATAATCTGGTTCGAATAGATGCCTAGATACACGAGGAATTATCGCAGTGTAGTCGATTTAATAAACACAAGTACACGCACTCACTTGTCATAATGAGTCGTCGTTTGAGTAGTTCCCTGCGGTCTCGACTAAACAGCCGAACCTCCGTGTTGGGGGCTAATCCAGACTCAGTAGGGCTGCGTCGAGCTATGCTACACTCTTCCGAATTGACGCTGCTGACACGCAGCAGAGAATTCTGACTGTACACATTGATGATGTCATGTGTACGCTCCACTTCCACGTGGCACGGGGCACTGGAGAGGCAGTTGACAGGCTGGTGGAAAACAATGCAATCGCCATGCTCCGAACTCACGACTAGTATTCCTTTAGCATTCACAGAAGTGACATTTATGCCAGGAAGACGCACAGACGCCACGCTCTTCGAGGTATTCAACTGAAAGGCTACGTAGAAGTCGTCGGAAAGGTTTCTGGAGACAGGCTCAATCTCGCCAATGGCATTTGTGAAATAGGTGGAACGGTAGAATGTCCGCTGCAGGCGTTGTCCGTTGAATGTAAAGTCCTGGATTGTGTGGGCGCCTAAGAAGACATAGGCAGTGCGACGTGTAGCAAAACGTTGATCTGAGGTCGCCTTAATCGTTGAGATATTTGTGCCGGCAACTCCACAGATTGTATCGTCGATGAAAAGGGAAAGGTTCCTCTTATTCCAATGAATTCTAATCTGATGCCACTGGTCAGGTGTGGCACGCAGGTCCGATTCGCATCGGTCAATCATCCAGTTGAAGTGTGGTGGGGCTCGAAGCTCCACGGTAAGCTGCATGATACGTTCCACAGTTGGAGCCTCCAACTTTGGAATACCCTGGTAGACAACTTCCAGGTACCACGGGGAATTCGGGTGAGAGGCATGTTTTAAAATTCTTGTTGCGCCCGTTAATACGGCCGCGGGATCAATAAACATCCAGAATTGGTAGGTGACAGCTAAAATGTGAAAATCCGACTCCTGTTATATCCAGAAGATATACAAGAAAATCGCTTAGCTGCGGTGACTTACGTTCTTCGCACAGAAATATATTCGAAAAACACGAGTCCATTTGTTTGTAAGTTGAAGGATTTTCGGAGAGATAAGCATTTGATTGATCTCTGTCATTAGAAACCAGCAGTTTGGATTCTTCCAGCAAGTTGGGAGCTGGAACAGCGTTATCTAGAAGCGCAACGCGCGTAGATGTTGAACCTGTAAAAGAAACGGCAGACAAATTTCATCCCAATGGCAATGGCAATATCCAAAAACCCGATTCCATTATCAAGAAACTGTACTCCAGGATTTATTTAATCAACAATATGACCACGAACTAAAGTGCTCGTTTTGTACGGCCTGCGTCGAGACGAAAAGTTTTATCACCAAATCGCAAACACATTGCGATTCTAATCCTAGCGACAGGATTTTCCGTTCGCGGTGAAAAGATGAATCATCGTTCCTTTTTCTGCGCTTTGTACCAAAGATTTAAAAAGGTGGATCCGTTCTAGTGCACTTTTTTTGGTAATTTTTTGAAACCACAGCTTCCGTGAATTGCAAAAAAGAGCATATTTGACAAGACAAATTCTGCAACAGTGCATAATCGTACACTTTTTCAAACGATTTTCAATACATCGCATGGTCATGCATTGGGAATCGAAATAATATCTTGGAGAATTCCCAGCACCAAATATTGTTGGAAATGACTTATTTTCGTTTCACTGAACATTTGCATCCGATTTTAACACAAAAGGCATGCTAGATTCTGTGCGAGGGCTTCACAGATATTTTGGATCCGTTTCTAGGCATCGCAACCGCTTATAATTGCAAAAAACATCGATGACAGCTTCTGCCGCTGGCAGTCGACACCAAACCTTCTGCCTCATTGGTTTTAATTTAAAGAAACTAGTCGTCTGCCTTGGTGAACCTCTTTTATGCTTGTTTTTTAATCGCTTTCTCAAACTAGTCTGTTAATCAGGTCCAATTTGGTATTCAGATATCGGATTTTCAGATAGATTCCTGGTAAATTAAAGGAATAATGTGCTATTGGATAACCAGGACGGCGTTGGAACATACCATGAACCTTGAGTGCGTTACAGCTCCCCGGACAATAGCAGACGTGTCTGTTGCCGAATCCAACACATCCGCAGGTAGATTCGTTGACTTTGCTCTTGCAGACACCTGAGTAGTTCGCGTTCAAAGGAGGCAAAGATCTTACATCACAGACGCTCTGAATCGCAACGCCGGCACCGATTTGCACCATCCGTGGGCCGAACTGTTTGCTCAATCCACAGGCGCACTCACTTGCAATGAGAAAGGACTTGATGCCACCCTGGAAGGGTCGAAACGCGACAGCCGACTTCGCGGCAAGCGTGGTATCGTTGTCGGCAGATAGATGCCTCTGAATGACATCACGATATTTGATCAGCGTGCCTACTGCATATTCAGACATTGTCCCTGCAGGAGGCAGGCCCAAGAAGGCCTCGTTAGAGTAAAACTGTCTAGCAGCGTCTTTTTGCAAATATCCTCTTGATTTAAATTCAGCCCAATCCAGCCAAAGCACATCGCCTGCCTTCATATAACCTCTATTCGTCTTCTGATCAACACTGAATCGGATTTCTACCCGAGGTACAACCGGTGTAGTCGAATAGGGATTTGAATGTGCACCCCCGTGTCGATTTAAGCGTACCTCCAGCCGATGCCAGCCATGCCAACGTCGATCGAAAAATCCGAGCGCATGATGAAGGTAAAAACGGACTTGACGATCTGTTAGTCGCATTACCATGAGCCGGAAATAAGGCCGTTCAAAGTAAATAAAAAGAACCAGAGGATCGCCTTGATGATCAGCAACCGTGCTAGTGTGGGTTTCGCGCGTCGATTTCATCGGTAAATGTGTACCACTTATTCCGGTGAAAATAACGGATGAGTTGGTATTTACAAAGACATCAAAAGAAAAGGAAAATAGCATTTGGCTGTCGTTTGAACAAGAAAATGCCTGTGTGTCTAGCTCAATAAATGCATTTGTCTGGCTGAAGTTGAGTAATCCGGGTGTTGAAAAACAACTTGGCACGCACGGGAATAGGCAAAATACAAGCAAGCAATATGAGTAAACTCCCACCATTGTCTTTGCGGCAAATTGCCTCGCATTGATAACCGTTACGACGACGGCTGATGCAGACATGCGCCACGAGGATTTGCCACGGTTTAAGACTGCGTATTAACCAATCAGAATGTCGCTCATGCAACACTGGCCAATGATAATTCACCAATCGAATGCGTGTGCACGTGTTTCTCAAAGTCGCACACGTCAACCGCATTCGGTATACGCGTTGGGGTGTACTTACGCACAATGGGATCATACGTTGCCATCGCTGGTTATATGCCACTCCATTTTGATTCAACATGGCAACGGATTGCCTGTATAATAAAAAGTTACGTTTATATCTATTAAATTGGTAGAAATTCGACACGGCATACTTCTACCAATATTTATCTGCTCCAGATGCAGCCCCATGTTTAAAAACTAGACTAAAACCTGTCAGGATGTCACAAGTCATGTCGATGACTTGAGGGCTGAATAGTACTAGTTTCCGGACAGATTTCAGTGACAAAATTTAAGCCAGATTCTTGATTTCATTTAGCAGATTGCGAGAAGTTAGGTAGTATTATTAAATCACATTAAAGGAGTTTAAACTTCCACGGTTTCTTTTGAGATTCTGATTTTGTAGATAGGAAATCATTTCAATAGTTTACTCGTTTCGAATGAAGCAACTTACCCGAGATTTACTAATTTGGTTCATTCCAAGGTAACTCAATGCACAATTTGCCTTTTTCCATTAAATGTTGCCGTCTTATTAGGTATTTGATGGAATGTAAACACCGGTTATAAAACTAATTGGTTGTTCGATTTTTGAAAACATTTCAAGGATTTGTTAGTGGTTGGTTTTAGGCAAGTCCAGTTTTCAGCTAATTAAAACGCATTTGACGCTTTTGCCTTGCAAAAATTCGTGGATTTGAAGGACGTGGTTCTCAAATCGCATCGGGGCCAAGCAATCCACTTTGACAAGCCTGACCAGGAAAGGGGGAAAAGACTACAAATAACACGAAGCTTGTCCATAGAGTGGGAAGCCGTCAGCTTATATTTGAAAGCCAGGCGTGAATTGCACTCTAGTTAATCGGACCGATTCAAGATCACATGCTGAACGCCGTTGCTACTTCAAGTGCATTCAAAACAATCGATTGGTTAATCACCACAATCGAATGCTTGATCCATCAATCTGTGGTGGAGTTGTGAGCATCGAACACATCTAATGACCTAGATTGCCATGGTCGTCAAACCCGTGAAGGCTCCACTAAAA